TCCGCTCTGTTTCATTTTTTATTCTCCAAACTTATATGTAAGCTATTTTCTATTCAACCCGTTTTGAAAAAATAGTTATAATATCAGTATAAAATCGTTAGAAATAGAAAATGAACACTCTTAGACTCATTCTAAGACACTCTTTCATTACTCGAAATATTCTTGATTGCTTCAGCTTTTAATACACTTTTAAATTTAATTTTAAATTACAACTTATTTATAATTTTGTTAATTTCAAATTATTAAATTATAATAAATATTAAACTTTGTTTTATTTTATTGCGCAAATTTGAAAATTATTCTCAGTGGTAGCACTATTCTACACATTATTGATAAAAAATATTTTTAGTATATGGAAATGTGGGAATTTCATTCTTCATTCCCTCTAATGTTTTTTGAACAAAAATCTTTCAGTGTTTCAATCTCTTTTGCTGTATAATTTTAAATTAACTATTAGATTTTAAATTAATTATCAAATTTTAAAGTAACAATTTTTTTTCAAAACGTCAATTCCATGATTATAATTTAGTTTATGTTAATAATTTGTTTCGTAAATTTGAAAATTAGTTTTCAACAAATCTATTTCATTACAATCTCTCACATTTTTATTTCTGATATTTTTTCATTATAACTAGAATAATATCAAAATTATGCCATTGTTATTAGTATAACTGTTAATAAAGTTGCTATTGTAATGTTAGCTTATTTTTTATGCACCAAAATTGTACTACTTTAATAGTATTAATATTCTGTCTCATGAATTTGATAACAACGCAAAAATATAGAAGAACGTAAACTTTCTTCTATTTACTTGTAATTTAGTGCCAGCAACACTGATACCATCATCATTAGTAAGCCATCTTGTCATAAATACCATCACTGCCATTACTGTAGCCACCATTTGCCTTAATTATTACTTAATGCATTTTGACAATTTCTTTTTATATTCTTATGAGTAAACATTCTAAAATCACTATAAAATGTAAAACTCTTTACAGAGCTTTTATTGTACTTAATGATCTTTTGAGCGAAATTTTTTTAGCATAAAATATACTGAAGACTTGTAAAGTACTGCTGCTCTCATTTGTAAATTGAATATATATTACTGTAAATATCAGATTATACGTGTAAATGTGTAATATCTGAGCGATAGTGAAGGAAAATGCTAATTTGTATAATTCATATTATCGATAGTGCCATTATTATCATCCATACTGAGGCTGTTTGTACAAAGAAATTTAAAAATGCACATATTCATTGCTAATTGATAGTCAGTTCAGAATACATACACATAATGATAGATGTTAAATTGTGATAAGGATGAGACTGTCAATAGAGATTTGTAACAACTTGCGTGCCATAAATATTTTATCAAAACTGCTCTTTTAGTATCGATATTAGCAATTGTAATATGATAATCATAAATTTAAATTATAAAGAAAAAATAGCGATGAAAAATTTTGTAAACTTATGCAAATTTTATACTTGACTCTAAACAAGCAAATATGCAGGGCTAACGACATATGCATGGTTTCTATAACACTTATAAAAGTATTTTCAAGCAAATAAAAAGTTTTCGAGATGTAATTTCTTGAATTTTTCTTCTCATTAGCAGAAAAATTATTTCTGTTTAATCAACCAAATACTTTATCTTTAATATCTTTTATTATAAATTATTGTTCAAGTTCGTTAAGCTAATATGATGTGTTTAATTGAATGAACAAACGTATGCTAATACGTAAATATGAACACAGTATTTATGTAATTAAAATTAATAAATTAAAAATTGAGTCAAAAAATTTTTTGAAAAGTATAAAATCAAAAGCCCGCTATTAATGGAAAATGAATGAGAAACTGGTTGGTGGTATTCATTATTTTATTTAAATTACTTCAAACACATTTTATTTTTCTTCTATTTTTTCATCGCCTAATCTTCTATGTCTTTTTTTCTTCACTTAATTTTGCTTTGTATTCAAATCCTATGAGATTTGTATCTAATATCCAATTATTTTTCATAAATTCATTCAAAATATGTTCTAAACACTAATTAACGTGCTAGTACCTATTATCATAATCTTTAAGTTAATGTGATACCGACAATTATTAACAATAATGACAGTAATAACAATAATAATGATAATAACAAGAGTATCACAGGGAGGTTATTATTCTTTCCTTCATTACTGATCTGCTGCTAGATCGTCTTCTGGCATTCTCGCTGCACTCACCCACGCTCAGTTTTGCTCAGCTGATCTCCACTGTTCCATCCTGGTTGAATCCTTGGCGCTGATCAACTTGGATTTTTCCAACGCTTTCTTGAACACTATTGATTCGACTTATGCTTGACGTAATCAGATGCACTGGTTTCCTTCGCGCAACGTTTATGGAAGTTCGTACGAATCCCATATAAAATCATTACATATGAAATTAGTTTTTGCATTTCATTTCGGCCCCGAGTTTATTAGCTAGTAGGTCATATTTTTGCTTTTTCTGAGTCTCCACTGCTGTCAACCTGTCCTGACTAGTAATGCCAACCTTACTTCACGTTGCTTTTTATCGTGTAACATGATATCCGGTCGATCAGCACTTATCTTTTTAGCTGTTCTCACTCGCGTATCGACTCTGATCTCAACGTTCTCACTCGCGACAACCTCCTGAACAGAATGGCTTCGCAAGCGCGGAAATGCCTTCAAGACTATATTACTTGCAGAGTCCCAAATGGATACATTGCAGGACTTCATTGTGTATTCTACATAATAGTTATACATTTCGTCGCATTGCGTCGCTAGATGGTCCATCGTCTTCACATGTTCCCTACAATTTGGGATGATACAAAACATATTTCTATATTGAAGATGACAGTATCGCGCTTCCTCCTGTGGAATAATATATCCAAATCGTAGCCACAGTGATGAATCTGACATTTAGGCTAGCTTATTTCTGCGCAGCTTGTACGGCTTTGTATGCGGAGCTTTTTTTCTATTTCCCTGTACTGGAGCGCTTTCTAGCTGCTATACTGAATGCATACTTCACTGGCCAAATATCGCTTTATGAGTGTTTTGTGGAAATTATTTTCACTTATCTTCTTTTTTATGCTTGCTTTCCACATCGATGGCTTCTTTCCACGCCTTGTCATCTCTTCGTAGCATCGTTGTGCTACTTGGAACTGCCTTGCAAGATCAGTAATTGACTTGAGGAGTTCTGTATGGCATATTTACCCGCCGCTTGGTTTACCGCTTCAAGTATAAGCGGGTCAACTTTCTCCGAGATTATTTTCCGCGTCCACTTTGTCTGATCTATTTCACGTCCCTGTGCCTTTTGATATATCAGCACTCGATATTTTTCCTTCACATCTAGATAAACCTTAAACTCATGTAGCGTGTTTTGCTCGAAGTACGTATCTTGTGCTTTGACACATTTAATTGACTTCTCCAAGAAACGCTTCTGCGAGCGCAGACGTCTTCAGTTCTTAAAGAAACAAGCGAGGAACTTGTAACGCAGGGAACGACACATCCTACTCTCGACATTTTCCCGAAACGGTCAAGAACCGGTTTTCGCACTTCACCTGGCCAGCTGTCTTGCAGAACCTCGATTCCTCGAATGATAATTTTAACGAAATCATTCTACTCCTGGTTCCGGTAAGCTTTTCACAATACGGGGCTTTTCAGAACCTCATCTGCTTTCTCATTGTTTTCTACTATGATTCCAGATGCGGTTTTTCTCCGTTCACCCTCTATTTTCTTCTCGTATTTTTGATATCCTGACTGTACGACCACGCAGCATTCTTCTTTTTGGTTCTGAACTTGTTTTGCAACAATCTTTTCTTCCGCTTTATTCGTGCCATGCGTGTCATTCATTTATCTTTACTTTCTTGCCTTGTTTCGTCTTTGTTGCTTCAGAAGTACTGCAACAAGGGGTTGCATGAGTACTGTCGTTAAGGTCATTATAATAATGATGCTAATAATGACATCACTGCAGCACACTTCAATTATTAATATTAATATATGTGCTAATAATAATCAAAATCTTCGAACTTGTATCCGTGCACATAAAACTTATAAATGTGATTGATATTGTTCCAAAAAATACTTGTAGCAATTATATACGAGAAAACCAGAGTAAGTCGAAGTTAAATGGCCAAAAAATGGCACACAAATGGATTTGAAAAGAAGCTTGGATTGAATACATCTGCATAAACAAAGGCAAATGAGAAAGAATGCATAAAAGAACTGGAAAGTTTTGTTGCTATGTGAGTTATTATGCAAAAGTTTTACTGCAAAATGCAGAGTATAAATAAGTTTGTAGAAAGTTTTCAAGTTAGTACCAAATGCAATAATTTATTCTTTGATAATAATAATAATAATTATTATTATTATTATCATTATTATTATTATTATTATTATTAAAATTGTTTCATTTGCAGTTATTTATCAATAAAATTAATGTTTTTTAATATTTTATACAAAATCTTTTTTCTTCCAGAACTGTAAGAATTTGTATGATGTGTGGCAACAAATTTCATCTTTGCTAATGTTTAATTAAGTTATTAAAATACAATCAAAAGTTATTGAATAATATTATGACATCATCAAATCCATAATCTGATGCAAAAATTAAAAGTTAATTTAATTGTCAAATAAACAGAAACAAAATGTAAGCTAACTCAAAGTAATGCTTTACTCAAGTTTTTTATTTGAGTTTCGCTTTCATACAAAAACGGTTATTGAATTAATTATATTTTAACCAAATTTAGCACACTAATAAAGGCAATATTTTTAGTTTTATTTTTGAAAACAATTCAAAAATGCATGTACCTAAATTTAAATCTTTGTAAACAATTAACAAATATTTGTAAATTTAATATTTGTGATAAAGTTTATGTGAATAATAATTAACAACTTGATACATTAAATTTTGTTCTGTTCTAATGCGTAGTAAATAAAATATGCAATAAGCAAAATATTGTACAATGAATTAATTTACTGAATAGTAATGCATATTTGATTAAGTTGGATTTAGTAAAGTTGTAAGTGCAAGCTTTTAGGAGTAAAGTACCATTTATTGATTACTTATTGCTTAGACATAATAAGTTGGATTAAGTTGAGTAAGTAGCTTCATCAAAGTAAATATAGAACTGGTGTTGTAAAAATTAAAAATGTTGTAAAATTTATTTATATTAGAAAACATTTTGAGTCAGATTTTTGTTTCTAATTAATAGCTAACTTATTGTCAGCTACAATCTTATATTATTAATTTAATATTATTAAATAAACTGTCATGTACTGATTACATAAATATAAATTAAATTAATTTCCATTTTAATTATTAATTACTTTTAGATCAAAAGTTTTCATTTGCAAAATAAACTTTTGATTAATTTCATATTTTACATTTTGTCAAAAAAAAAGAACACATCAAGTAAAATAATTACTTTGCTTGCAAAAATAATACAATTAAAAAGTTTGCATAAAAATGAAATTGAATTGAAAACAGTTATGAGTTTATTGTCAATTTCAAACTTAATCTCAATTACTTATTTCAAAAATTTGAAAATTGCTCATACCAATTCGATTCTTTAATTTTATTTAAATTTAGAATCTTGCATTTTTAGGCTAAAAAGAAAGGATAAAATTGGATGCAAGAAATGATTTGATTTACAACTCTTTTAGAGCACTAATGGAAATTGCTGCCATTTGTAAGAGAAAAAAATTTGCAGTTAAAAAACTTACATTTATTTACTTTAAAAAACTTTATTGTTTGTTTTTTGTACCATAGGTTTATCTGTTTACTTTCATTCATTCTTTTATGATTTATTTTTAGTACAAATTATAAAAAACATATCAGCGAATTCTAATATTATTCCGGTTATATTATTATAATTTTTGCATATTACATTAATAATTTTTATAAAAGAATTTTGCTAATTGCATATAATTAAAACTATTTTAGTATTATTTATCACGTGAAGATATATTGTGAAGTTTTGTATGAAAACAGAAATTTGCGCTTTTTTTTTTGACGTCAAAGTAATAAGCATTTTGTTTCTCTTATTTTATATTGATTTCATTGAAAATAATTTCAATAAATCAGTCAGATCTTTATTTTAAACGTGATATCGATTTCTATTTTGAACGTGATCTTTAACGTACACGCGAATAGCGTATTAAATTGATATTTCATTTACTTTTGAATAAATAAAATGTATCACGTTGAGCTTAAACTTAGCAATGTAATTAATGGATATAAAAGGCATATCTTAAACTTTAGGAACCTTTTCGTTTCCTCAATGCAAACAGATCAGTTTTATGTTGGCATACATTATACTATCAGAAGCACTTACGTACATTTGTCGTTAATTAAGACAAGAATAAATAGCAGATCAAGAGATGGCGTACACTTCTCGTTTTTCAGTAATATAAATAAATACTCACTAAAAATTTGTTCAATTTATATTCGCTATTTTCGCAATTCTTTTTATGCTTAAAGTTGTGCACTTATTGTATTATGTTTGTTAATAATAAATTTAGTAACTTAATAATTATTTAATAGGTAAAGATTAATCTCAAAAATATATTTAATTCATTGATAAACTTTTAAGAAATTAAATAATCATATGAAAAAAATTAACTCTGTAATGGCGACAAAAGAAGTCAGTTTTATCGTTTGTAGCACTTTAAAACAAGAAAGCGATGATTAATTTTAGAAACAAGTCAAATATCTTTTCCTGCTACACGTAAGTGAAGACCAGCTCTATTTATTACACGTACAAAATATCTAAAAAGACGTAACAGCACAATTAGTATCAACAAGTATTATTTCAGAACGATGACGAGGTTATAAAGTGTGATGAATATATTAATAAATTTTGCTATTTACGTGCTGACAAACGTTATTGAAATACGTTCGCAGTGGCATACAGCAACAACAACTTTTTACGCTAGTCGTAAGTCTTATTTATCACGGAAAATTTACCTTATTTTCGAAGAAATTTTTCAATTTCCAAAAGTGTTACAGATTCGGAATTTTTATTTTTCCTTCGCATATTCCTAGAAAATACTCATAATGAAACCAATTTGATTAAAAGCTTTTTTAAGTCGAAAAAAGAAAACACCAATATATTGCAGCAGTACACAGCATAATACTTAGTAAATTTCTCGATTTTTTTAATTTATATGACCTTTGTCCTGATTTTGCATAGTGTGAAATATGGATTTGTTTGTTACAAATATATAATCATAAACATTTAAATATTTTTAACTTATTAACTTACTATTATGACTAATTTAATTGTAATTGCTCAGAAATAAGAAAGTGCAAAATTAGCATGTATCATTCAAGTATCATTATCAACTATCACAACTATCATTATCAACGATCACAACTATCATTATTATCTATCACAACTATCACAACTATCATTATCAACGATCACAGCTATCATTATTATCTATCACAACTATCACAACTATCATTATCAACTATCACAACTATCACAATTATCACAACTATCATTCAGCCAATAAAATAAATCATTCATTATAACAATTTGCTAAAATAGAAAAATTTCCGGCACCAAAATTAATTTGTTGTTTTCAGTATTTTTTTAAATATCTTTTTTCATCCTTGCAATATCACTCGAACTTATTTATTTCTTCTATCCACCTGTCTGTTATCCACGCAGGACTTTCTCAAGTAACTTGTCAAGAATCGAATTTCGCGATATGAAGCACATCATTCAATCACGAAAATTATACTATATTTGATCTTTTCTGATAAATCAAAGGTCATCAATACTAACCTTTTCAAAAATCCCATCTAGAACACATTACTACCAAATGTTATTTGTTCTTGACTTAAGGTCTAACAACCAAAAATCTTTTGCTCCAAATACATTTTAGAATTTACATCACATTTCTCCAAAAACGAATTTAGTTGAAATGCAATATATGCTTTCAAGTTTTGTCCCTTTTTTCAAAGCTGACCTTTTCATGAACTACAATTTAACGAAAATCGCAAAATGGTACCCATGCGATTTCATTTTTGAATATGACAGTTCAATTTTCAGTTGTTGTTTGAATTTAAAATTCTTATTAAAGCTTAGATATTTTTTGTAGAAGCAGTTATATAAATTTGCTTTAAAGCTTTAATCAAAAAAGATGCAATAGGACTGAATTTTAGAAAAAAATTGATTCAATTGTGTAAAACAAAAAAAGTTTGATGCAAAAATGACAGACTTATTATGAGATGAAAACATTAGCAAAAAAATTTTGATTCAGTAAAACATTTTACCATTTTTGATTTAACAAATTGACGTCATTTGATTTAATAGCTTACTTATGCATCTGACAATATCCACAACAAATATTAAGTAAATTATGACTGCTTTAGATTTTCGTTGCTCAAAGATTTCTATTCAACAACGAAATTTGAAATCAAATCATAAATGCAACTTATATAATTTTAAATTTTTGAACATGTAATAAAATTAATTTATTAACATTTTTATGAAATCTGTTAACATTTTAATAAAATTTTTTAACACTTTTTGAAAAAATATCAAAAATTAGCAAGAATAATAAAGGTATATTTGATTTATGATTTTTTTACTTTTTTCTACAATATTCGAAAAAGGTAAAATGTTTGCTTTAATATGTATGATGTGCAGCTTCAGTTTAATTTTCTGGAATATTTTGTTAGACTTGTGGCAAGATACTGAAGATGAGAATAAAAATATGTACTGAGAAAAATGTTGTCGAACGAATAAAGCCCTGAGGGAATAAAAGATATTAATAAGATTTAGCCAAGTTCAAAATAGCCGCTTAAAAATGCTTGCTTTTTTCATATTGAAATTTTTATT